AGGCCCTTGGGGTGGGGGGGGCTCTTGTCCGGGAAATTTTGAATCTGTTCCTGGTTCCTGAATATGCTCAATACCTCCCATCCCCCCAAGGCTCTGTATAATCCCTACGGGTTCAGCGCTCCATAATTAATATAATGTCTGCAGGTGAGAGTGTGGGAGACCTTATCTCCCCGTGTCTGTGTATGGGGACGATGGGCTGGATCCACAAGACGTGCCTGGAACACTGGCTTACCATCACTACCTGTCAGAGGTGTGAGCTGTGTGGCTTCGCTTACACCATAAGACTGTCTCCTAAACCTTTCTGGGAGGTAATGTCTGTAGGTCTCCCCCAGTGGATATCTTTCCCCAGTGGGTATATTTTCCACATCTACTGGAAGGTAATGTCTGTAGGTCTCCCCCAGTGGGTATATCTTCCCCCAGTGGATATCTTTCCCCAGTGGGTATATATTCCACATCTACTGGAAGGTAATGTCTGTAGGTCTCCCCCAGTGGGTATATTTTCCCCCCAGGGGAAATCTTTCCCCAGTGGGTATATATTCCACATCTACTGGAAGGTAATGTCTGTAGGTCTCCCCAGTGGGTATATCTTCCCCAGTGGATATCTTTCCCCAGTGGGTATATATTCCACATCTACTGGAAGGTAATGTCTGTAGGTCTCCCCCAGTGGGTATATCTTCCCCCAGTGGATCTTTCCCCAGTGGGTATATATTCCACATCTACTGGAAGGTAATGTCTGTAGGTCTCCCCCAGTGGGTATATCTTCCCCCAGTGGATATCTTTCCCCAGTGGGTATATATTCCACATCTACTGGAAGGTAATGTCTGTAGGTCTCCCCCAGTGGGTATATCTTCCCCCAGTGGATATCTCTTTCCCCAGTGGGTATATATTCCACATCTACTGGAAGGTAATGTCTGTAGGTCTTCCTCTGTGTCTTAGACACAAGGCCAGGTCTTAGAACAGACCGCGGGGGCGTTGACCCCCGAAAACCCCTCCAGGTATGGATAAAACTAATTTTCAGGAAACGAAGGTCCAATTTTTTCTAATGGTACAATTTAGTTTACACGTAATTAAACATTTTTGGACTTAATGGAGTTAATTAACACCTGTACAATAAGTCGCTAAATGAACAATGGTACAACTTTAGTTAGAAATTATAATATATCGGTTAGATTTGTCACTAAATTATATAATCTGTATAATTGTTAACTGAAGTAATGGCTTCAGCAAATACTCAGATAATCACTTACTGATTCAATGACCTGACTTCCTGATTCAGTGATCTGACTTGTAGATTCAATGACCTGACTTGTCATTTGTGGTCAATATAAGTTTATATTGTGTACGAATGGTATATAATACCGACAAGATGAGTTTAAGACACATGTGCAACATCTGGGTATCTTTATTGTAGACGTTTCGCCCTCCAGTGGCTTTATCAATACAAATTCTAGGACATAACTAGAAGACAGCAGAACTATGTACAGAAGATGAGGTAATCAGTCCCTCAACCTAGGAATAGGTGCGAAGAGCACCATAGTCGCGGAGAATCTCCACGACTATGGTGCTCTTCGCACCTATAGCTAGGTTGAGGGACTGATTACCTCATCTTCTGTACATAGTTCTACTGTCTTCTATTTTGTCCTAAAAATTTGTATTGATAAAGCCACTGGATGGCGAAACGTCTACAATAAAGATACCCAGATGTTGCACATGTCTTAATCTCAAGTTTATATTGTACCAGAAATACTTAAACGTAGAAGTAAGACAGATACATTAGATATCTGGCCCAAACATGGGGTCATAATTCACCTGGATATGAGATAATTACAAAAATTAAGTGGATGATTACAACATCGTAAGATTAGCAATGCACAAATAACATTCACATAGACAAACAACGTTT